ACTGACCAGTCAGCGACTGACCAGTCAGCGACTGACCAGTCAGCGACTGACCAGTCAGCGACTGACCAGTCAGCGACTGACCAGTCAGCGACTGACCAGTCAGCGACCTCAATTTGTCCTGAATGAATGACCTTAACCTGTAGAGCTGTAGCTTTGCAGTCAGAGATCTCAATAATAACTGTTTACATGTTTTGTTTCATGTTAATCTACTGTAATAAACCTTTGTAAAATACACCAAAATGCAGGAAAAGGCATATACTGTATAAAAAATTCTCTGGGGGAGGACCCCCAAACTTCTGTAATGTTCTTTATACAGTATGGAAGGATAAATGACTGTATAATAAATAAATGGACTTTATTTAAAGAAGTATTTGCATTTCATGTATTATATTATTTCATTTGGCCCACAGCCCTCTGATAGATTTTAAAGTTGGCCCTTTCAGAGAAAAAGTTTGGGCACCCCTGCTTTAGATATTGCAAGCTATTAAAAATACAGGTATTTTTTTTGTCTTCCCTAAACATTAAAATCATCCATTTTAAAATCACTTTCTCCTGACTGATGCTTCTGATGCGCCTACCTCTGAGTAATCGCATACAGTGGTTGGAGGATTTCCAAGAGGTCGCAGCGAGCTGAGAAAAAAATTGGTGAGAAGAGCCAAAAACGGGCCATGAAAAGCGGAGGTCATTTTTTCATGGCTCCACCAACTGCTGTGTTAACCTGGCAAGAGTTCAAAGATGCAGGAACATGGTGGACAACTGCAGAAAACTGATATTTTTCTCATTAGAGCTCTTTGTGAATGTCAAATGTCGTCTTTGGAACTGCTTTGAAAATCATTGTGTGAAAGCTGATTCAAAATTCACACTACTGCTTTCCTGTTTATAATTTTATATACGTCTTAAGACATCGAACTACAAACTTCGTTGTATTTTCGGCTATTTTAACTAATCATAGTGGGAGTTCTGCTCTGACAGCTCTTGCACCACACACATCCAGTTGTTCCCAACCCTGGTCCTTGAGGAACACCATCTTGCATGTTTTGGTTGTTTCCCTGCTTTGACAGACCTGATTTGAATGAATGGGTTATTTACAGGGGTAACTCTAAATTGTCCCTAGGTGTGAGTGAGAGAGTGAATGGTTGTTTGTCTCGTTTGTCTCTATGTGGCCCTGTGATGGACTTGCGACCCGTCCAGGGTGTACCCCGCCCCTCGCACAGTGATTGCTGGACATGGGCACCAGCGACCCCCGTGACCCAAAATGGAATAAGCGGGTAAAGATAATGGATGGATGGATGGATGGATGGTTATTTACAGGCTTCTGCAGAACCTGAAGAAATTAAATCCCTGAATCAGGTGTGTTGGAGCAGAGAAAAAAACTAAAACACGCAGGATAGTGTTCCTCGAGGACCAGGGTTGGGAACCAGGAGCATGAACGCTGCAGAAGACATTCAGCCAGTGCTGGAGCATTACCTGCCAATGGTAGTTCTGGTCTAGCCTTTTACTAATGTCTAAATACCAATGACTTTGTACTCTCTCTGTGCCTCCAGCGATTAATCCCTGATGTCCTCCTGTTTCCTGGATTCTCCTCTGCACCTCCTCAGCTGCCTCCATCCCTTCCTACCACTTGCCAATAGCCTGCCATTGTTCCAACGTACACCTTCTTCACCTGGAACCATTTGGGTCCCTCCCCACTACTGACTCCGACTGTAAGAAAGATCAACAACATTATCTGCCAACAGGCCAGTAATCATCTCTTTGCTCTTCAGGGTTCCAGCTCCTTCCCTGGCTCATTGTATGATTTACCACTTTGTAAATAAACACCAAATTCATCCTGAATCTTGGTACCTCTTCTCCTCGGTCCTTTTATCTGAACAAAGCCGCAGTCGTTGCAATCATATTTCAAAACCTAAAAGTACTTCAGAAAATGATGCTTTGACTTTTAGTACTTGTAACTTTTATAGTTGTTAAAATGTTTTATTTGATGTGTGATTTGTTTCATTGAAATTTAGTGTTTTTATTTTAGCTTGTAATTTTTTGTGTGTGCTAATTTTAGGTTTTAGCAAAAATTTCGTTAAATTTAGCTTAAAGCTATTGTGCTATATCTAGCTTTAAGCTACAGTTACATATAAATTTTAGCTACTGTTTGTTTTAGGTTATAGCTTGTTATAGCTCTGTCATGGGGCAGAGGCAGGGCAGCCGACCTGGGACCCGAAAGTCCCAGGTTCGATCCCCAGCCATTCGCACATGCCGTGGTGTCTCTGAGCAAAACACCCAATCCTCAATTGCTCCCCGGGTGCACACATAGCTGCCCACTGCTCCACCCGGGTGCATCCCAGGTGCGATGAGTCAAATGCAGAGAACCAATCGTATGGGAACATAGAATGATGACAACACACAGCACTTTATTTATTATTGTTATTACCTTTTAACCAACGTTATGCTAATTTCACCTTTAGATACTGTTTTGGCTCTGTGTAGAGTTTATTATTAGGCTACAATAAATGTGTTTAATGTGTCTTTAAAGGAGAAACGGAGGACTGAGGTGGTAAATCGGTGAATCCACAGCAGTTTAGAAAGCAAACGTCCATCTTACCGTAGTACCGGCTCGCCCTCCAGGCCCTGATGGCACAGTGCAGGACTCCGTCCAGCCACAACAGCAGCCAGCTGATGCAAAAGCCCAACAGCAGGCCCAGCATCAAGTCCATCTCCTGCTTCGTCACACTGTCACTCACAAAGTAGTTCTCTGAAGAGTCCACCAGGGAATGGTCCCCATCGTACGGGATTACGTAGTGGACATGATGCCTGAGTGTGAGGACACACAAGAGAAGATGATGGACATTTTAGAAGTAATGTTTGTACGTTTATTCCCTCACATCATGGGGTTTGTCTAAAGATTTTTAAATCTAAATAAGACCGCACTAATCTGCACTTTGCAAGAAACCCCTGAAGTCCTCTTACAGACCCCTGGGTGGCCCCAGGCTGCACTTTAGGCAGAAGTAGTTTACGGCTGAGTTGTCATTTTAAATTTGCAAAAATGTCTTCAAGCATTTAAAGAATACGACATATTATTTAAAAAAATAAAAAAAAAGTTTTAGGTGACAACTGCTTCTCAGAAAGGCATTTACCCCCAGCTTAGATTAAATTAAAATTAAAATAACCAATGAAAAAGTTCACTTACATTTTTGTTTAATATGCATCTTTTTGAAAAAAAGTTGTGTTTTATTGTTTTTAGGAATTGTCTGTAAAACCTTCACATGTTTTATTTAAAGTGAGGGAAAAAATGAAAAGTTTCAAGCTGAAGTTGATTTTTATTTATTTGTTTATTTAATGTGATAACGTCCAACACAAGTTCATATCGAACAGGAAATCTGGAGGAATTATGTTTAAAAAAGAATAAATGAATCTTGCACTGATTTAATGCCGTTTCCAAACAGATCTATGATCAACATATATAAAGCCACCACATTTCATTCAGTTTCTCTTTGAAGTTTTACAAAATTTCTAAAGCTCATGAAGCTTAACTGAACTTTAAAAATGTACTTTTATTTGACATGACAGCTCAGAGGATGAAATCTTTTTTTTTTCCTGTTTAAAAACTCGAGCAGTTTCCTGACAAACATCACGGCAGAGAACAGGAGCGCTCTCACACTGTGGGACGTTAAGTGATAACAGGTTTGGATGGATGGAGGTTGTTGCTTTTGGAGACAGTTCAGGGTAAAACATCACTCCAGTGAATCTTGCAGGAGATAAAGTGAATAGTGAGTATAGAGGAAGATGACAGATTATGTGACTTTTCCCAACAGATTTCTTGTTGCTTACATGTTGAATTCAATTCAGCAATACTTTATTAATCCCAAAGGGAAATTAAAAGTTGTAACTCATTATCCTCATTTCATTAAGAGATGTTATAGATGCTGATGGCTGTAGGCAGGAAGGATCTCTTGTAAGGTCCGTCCCAAAGCGGATCCGAAGAAAAGTCGCAAATGCCGTCCATTATGTCCATCTAGACTCGGCTGACCTCTCGATTCCCCCGGACTGCAGGACCGCTCGAATGCCGGGATGAACTCCTCCCAGCGATGGGCGCTACTCCTACCGGCAGCCTGCCGAGCTCCTCGTCGCTGCAGACAGCTGGATGCTGGTGCCGGGTCCTTCTGGTGTCACGAGCCGTGTTTCCTGCTAGTTCCAGGATCTCAATGGTCAGGCACTTGAGCACAGCCGGAAGGGAGACGGGAATGCATCTATGGTGCCACCTTTTCAACTCATTTGCTATTTGGGGCTGTAGTTGAGGTATTTGATGAGCTTTTGATATGTTAATCAGCTGCTCCCACTTGTAAAAACCACCTTGTTGCCATGGTTATGCATCATAACAAATGTCCAAAACTAAAAAAAGTTTTTGCAAAAATCCTTCCAGCTGCACAGCATCTGCTAGCAGAGGAAGCAATCATCCAAAAAAAGTGATTTACATCCAGAAAAAGAGGAATTAAAGTTTCCAAAAGCAAAATCTCAGAATGAAAGTAACAGAGCTGCTCCAACATGCAGCCACCCCGAGCGGCACAATTATGGCTATAAATAATTTTGATTTACTTCAAATTGCTCAAATGATAATTTATAATATAGCATTTTTTGGTCCTTTCCAAAAACAATCAATAGTTGGTGCAAAGTTGGGCGTTCAGTAAAAGGGTATAATGATACTCTGATCCATGTGGGACCCAGACGTAGGACTATTAATCATTAATCAGACCTAGAGCACAACTGTTCAGAGACAGAGCCATTTTGGTCAGACCTTGTACAGAAATGACATTTTGAACTCATGAGATGCGTTGAGGATGAGTCTCAGCTACTACCACACCAATTATTAGCTCAGTATCTGTTGAATTACCTCACTTTCAAGTCATTTTGTTTTGGCTAATGTTAGTTAGCTGTGACGGCCATCTTGAAATTAGTGTGACTCCAAAGGATGTACATTTAAAAATTACTTTCTGCAAGCTTCATTAAAACTGTCCATTGTTTCATGAGTATTTTGCTACCGTGACAAACACACAGAAACATAACTGGCAAATCAAAAGTCCCAACAAAACAAGAAACAAGAATCGTAAATCCAAGTGGTTGTTACTTGTTTGTTTGGCATCTATATGAAAATTTTTTACCTTCACAATTTTAACATAAAAACTCAATCCACGCTGTGACTGACATGTTTTAGAGCGGTTTGTGTTTATGAGCAGGAGGGTGGGGAGAAGGAGAAAAAGCATCTTTCACTGACCAAGTTTGGTCAAATGTGTAAATATTCCTCCACTTCTGGATCTCCCTGATCTGAACGATGCAGGTGAAGTGAATAAATGTCTAAACTCTGTGTAACCTGGAGAACCTTTTTACCTCTATGCCTATTAAAAAAACTGCGTTTAAGACCATATGCATTTAAACTACACAATAAAACCTGAACTCTGCAAGTTTTTTTTTTCTGCAAACTTATATTAAGGCTATAAATATCTAAACTTTTTAAAAAGAATCTTATAAAATATAATTTAGATTAAATTTTCCCTACAAAAAAATCACCTTGTCTATGCCAGGATTCACTGGATTCAGCTGTGGCCTCTGAGTAAGAACATGAACGCGACCAAATAAGATGGCACAAGCTGTGTCCTCGAGCCTGACGAGGTGAACGCTGTGGGCGTCCCGACACCTCCACGCCTCACGGATGGAAGGACGGGCAGGAAAAGCCCGAGCTCTCCTCTCTCCTGTCTCGTTTTGCGTGACAACAGATGACTGGGTCCATTCAGGAGAGTTTCCAGGTCAGTGACGGAGGTGGATACGGTAACCTGAGCACCAACAGCAGGACTAGAGGTTCGGCTGTGCATTCTGTGCAGTGGTGTGTTTATTTGTTCAATAAAAGACATTAAAAAATGGAATTTCGTTTTTCTGAATTCTCCAACTGCAGCACATACAGATTGTCAATATGCACAAAAAAAGTACCACATATTTAGTCTTGATTCATCCATAAAACATCACTGTGTGAAAGAGGTCCTTCCACGCTTTACTTAAATTATATCTTTCTAAAAAGAAGGATTGATGATGACCTATTTCTAGGATTAAAGGCTCAAAGCCTGGCTTCTTAATGCTGCTCATTAACTGCTAACACATCAGCCATTACACTCCAGTGAACGAAGTGCTGCTTTGTTTTAAAGTGCATATTTTTACCAACATGAACTGGTCACCTGCTGGACACAAGCCACTCAGGATCTAATATCTGAGGACAAAATTCAAATGGTTGCAAGGGTACCCATCCACAAGTATAGTGGGCTACGCCCACCAAACAAGAGACAGGCCAGAGATAATGTTGTGAAGTACAGATCAGGGTTGGTTTATAAAAGAATGTCCTAGAACACTGAACATCATGGAGCACCATTAAATCCATTATTAGGAAATGGAAAGATGATGCCACCACAGCAAGCCTGCTAAACGAGGGTCGTCCACCAAAACCTATGGAGTGGATAAGGTGGGTATTACTCAGAGAAACATCCAGGACTCCAACGATAACCCTGATGAAGCTGGGCAGCTCTCCTGCAGAGATGGGAAGATCGTTCCATGGCTCCACTAAGAACTGCACAAAGCTCGATGTTATGGAAGCGTAGCGGGAAAGATAAACAATGCTTTTAAAAAAATGGCTGTTTGTGATTTCTTCCTCAAACGTGGAAGAAGCTGCTGTCAGATGAGACCAAATGGAAACTTTTAGGCCACCAAGGAAAACACCTTGTTTGAGGCAAGTCTACCTCATCAAGCTGAGAGAACCGTCCCTACAGTGAAGCACGGTGGTGGCAGCATCATGCTGAGGGATCATGTTTTTTAACCAGCAGGGACTGAGAATCTGATTAGAGTTAATGGATGGATGGATGGAGCAAAACTTGTTGGAGTCTTCCAGAGATTTGAGACTTGGATGGAGGTTCAACTCCCACCAAAAGACCTAAATGGACAAGTCAGAATCCAGACGGTAATCCAAGATAATTGGACACGAGCAGCACCCGTCCAACCTGAAGCAGCTGCAGAAGTTAGATCATGAATTCTAGAATTGCGCCGCTCAAGGTGGCTGCATGTTGGAGCAGCTCTGTTACTTTCATTCTGAGATTTTGCGTTTGGAAACTTTAATTCCTCTTTTTCTGGATGTAAATCACTTTCTTTGTTTTGGGGTAGGGGGTGGGGGGGATACTTGTTTCCTCTGGTATCGGATGCTGTGCAGCAGGAAGGATTTTTACTGAAACTTTTTTAGTTTTGGACATTTGTTATGATGCGTAACCATGGCAACAAGGCAGTTTTCTACAACCAAGAGCAGCTGATAAACATCTCAACGGCTCAAATAATATCTCAACTACAACCCCAAATCTCAAATGAGTTGAAAAGGATGTTCTGTGGACGCATTCTCATCTACCTGGAACTAGCAGGAAACACGGCTCATGACAGCGGAAGGACAGGATCGTCCCTCTGCACCTACAGTTGGCTGTCCACAGCGACGAGTAGCTCAGCAGACTGCTGGAGTGGCCATCGCTCTGGGAGGAGTTCTGCCCGGCATTTAGGCGGTCTTACAGCCCGGGGGAACCAAGAGGCCAGCCGAGTCTGGGTGGACGGATCGGACGGCATCTGCAGCCAGTTTCTTAGGATCCACTGTGGGATGGACCTTTACAAGAGATCCTTCCTGCCTACAGCCATCAGTATCTATAACGTCTCTTAATGAAATGAGGATAACGAGTTACAACAACAAATAATTTCCCTTTGGGAATAATAAAGTATTTTTTGAATTGAATTTGAATTGAATTGAATTGAATGAAGAGCAGACAAAATGTCCAGAGGTTAGAAGCTCATTGAGTGATGCTGAACTGCTGCAAAAAAACTCTACAAAGCATATTGGAGCTTAATACATACACCTGCAGATATTTTCAGTTTTATATGTTTTTCTTATTATTATTAAAACAAGTGTTTTCCTCAACCTTCTTTAAAAGCATCCATTCACTTGAGGTTTACTTTTAAATGAGACCATTGCTGTATGGAGATGTATCCCTGCTTCAGTAGAAACAATTTACTACTAAACAAGTGCCTGAAAACCGGTCAAACATGAAACTTACTGTCCACATGTATTAACCTAAGATCAGCCTAACTAGGTCAGTCACAAGTCTCAAGCTTCCGTGGTTGAGTGCTTTATTTACATTGAGTGCAGACCCTCATTTCAGAATTGCATTCAGTAAATTTGGAAAACTGGAGTTAACTCTAAAGTTCAAGATAACATCTTTATATGTTTAATTTTATGCTGTGCAATGAGTGCCTTTAACTAAACACAAATTCATGTATTAATAAGGAGTGCCTTGCTGCTGTCTGTTCATACAGCAGGTGGGCATCCTGAGCCATGACCAGCCCCGGCCCCCTCTCCTCTCTGAGGCTCTCATCTCCATAATCAGCCCAGCAGGTTAGATATGTGGGGCCTGCGTGATGCGCACAATGCAAGTGGTGCTCAGATTGGATTACTTTCTTATGTTCTGACTGGCCTGAAGTCGCCTATAGGTCATTACCTATTTATGCATCGGGCACACACCTTGCTCCTGCATGCAGCAAAGCCTCGATGAAACATAAAACCCAGAGTGGACACATCAGCTGCAAAACACTGGAGGATTTCAGGTTGCGGAGCTGCAAGCCTGAAAGCTTCTAGGCCTCTTCAGCAATTAAAATACTAGAGAAGAGCCATGTTTACCCCCTGGTGTCATGGTGGGAGGACGGTGGGGTGTCTTTACCTTCCACAGTTGCAGTGACAGACGCGGTCCTCCCCTCGTAGATGCGGTAGGATGTAGTTGTGAAAGCGATCCAGTAGCGCGTTCATGTCCATTAAACAGGCTATCGCCTGCAAACAAGCATCATGTCAGTCATCTGGGACAGCAGGGAGCTAAGCTATCAGCGGCGGGGTTTTATCACAGCACATTTGTGGGGAATCATAAAGAAAAAGGGCAGATCCGCTGATTCTTAGAGGGGGAGACTTGAAAACTGCCTTTTTTTATTTATTTATGACAGCAGCTTGGCTAATTATAGGCTTACCTATCCACATATCATTGATAGGCCTGCCCTAAAACAGGCTTTCTGAAAAATAAATTAATGAATTTGGGCTACAGCCTCGTGAGGAAATCTGAATTTGATATTCGTGAGGATGTCTTACCATTACAACTGAAGCACCAAGAATCATAAAAATCATGGTGGTTGTGATCATATGCATCAAAACTTCCCAACTGACCGCCGTCCTGGGGCCCCGGGGCTCGGTCCCTCTCTAGCCGCGGCAGTGCGCGCGCTCCGGCTCGGCTGTGCGCGCTCTCTCCCGGCAGGAGCCGCTCATGGAGCCGCCGCCGCGCCGCTCCTCCTGGCTCCCCGTCCCTTCAAACCGCCCGGTTCTCCTCCGTCTCCTCCTACACACACGGCCAGCTGCGCTGTCAAGCCTTTCACTGCGCCCTCTCCATCCAAGTAACCCCCCCACCGCCACCTCCTCCTCCACCTCCTCCTCCAGCAGCAGCAGCCCTGGATGCGGCTCGATCCACGGAGGCGTCCCGCTCCTAATTACCGATTCTAGTTCCGTTTCTACGCCTGTCCGGGTTTTAAAACAAAAAAATATCCCCCCCACCCCCAAACACTAAACAATCTGCTCCTCAAGTGGAGCCTCCTCTTCTCCTCCTCCTCCAAGCCCCGCTAAATCCGGAGGATCCGCTCCTCCATCGGTGAAAACGCTAGATTTATTTCGCATGGGCGTTTCAAAAATCCAGAACACAGAATCCTTGATAACATCAAGTCCCCCCGCAAACAAACAAACAAACAAACAAATAAAAAACAAGCAAAAATCCAAATTGCTCCAGTCGCTTTGCAGCAGCTGCATCGACGCCCGGAGCCAGACGCGCCTGATTATCCCATCCTGGCTTCCAGCAGCTACACGAGCACCCACTCCTCCTCTGCTGCTGCTGGTGCGTGTGCGTGTGAGTGTGTACAGTGGGCGGTATAGCTGCAAGATGCCTTCAGAGGCCTCTGCTCGTTAGTTCATCTCGGAGACTATAGTGCACCTCATTCCTCCAGAGGCTTCATCATTTCTGTGATTCCTGCAGATGTTCTGCAGATGTTCTAAATGTTGTCTCCTGCATTATTTGGAATATTAAAAATATCTTCTTTTTTTTATTTTTTTTATTCTGCTTCTGCTTTTAGATTCTGACAAAAATTCACTTTTAAAACACTTTCTTTTACACCGGTGTTGATTAAACTATAACATTAACTGTGATCCTGAATAATATCAGCTGTGTCTCAGTTGTAAAATGTAACAGGAAAAGACTGAACAAAACACCTTTATTAAACAAAAAGATGATGTTAAAAAGTACAACACAAAACTCGAGGTGCCACGAACTGAAGAAGATGTGAGAACTGGGGGGCATAAAAAGACTTAAATGAGATATGGCTGCAACTGAGTGTATATAGGGAACAGGTGTAGGTAACACTGGGAGGCAATGGGCACAAAAAATAAAAATACAGAAAATAACCATATTAATAAATATAATCATATCTCAATAGAAAAACTAAACTGAAAAGACATGGAACATGAAAAGATGGGGCAATCCCAATAGTTTTCCATGTGCAATTCTGAAATGTGGGTACACATTTAATGTAAACAAAACACTCAGCTAAATCATGATTGAGTTGCAGAAGGCTGCTTGTTTCTGATTCAGTTACAGATGTTGTGTGGATCACTCTTGGCTGTACATTTGCTTTAGAAATAGATTATGACCTTCATTTTTAAGTGCCAAACTTGCTGAGCTCCTATACGGTGGATGCATTTTGTTTTGGTGTTGTGTCCGTGCTTGACATTTTTAGAATTTAGTTGCATAAATTCCACTTCTTGGTTTTCAACTGCTGCTTTTTGGAGGGGTTACAGCAAACAAACTCACATGAAAGAATTGGCTGTTGTTTAAGATAAGATAAGAGAACTTTATTGATCCCGCAGTTACATAGATGTCCATCTTGACACAACCTGGGCTCAAACCTGCAACCTACAAGACCACAGAACTGACCAAGGTTCAAGGTTCAAGGTGACTTTATTATCATTCACATCACATGTGGTACGTGAGGTGGAATAAAATTGTGTACTCACGGTCCCAATTATCCACAAAAATAGCAATAATATAAACTATAAAAAAATAAATGGTATAAGGTGCTAAGATATACGCTTAATGATAATGTAATATAATATGGCGTATTAAACAGCAGCCTGAACATGAGTCTGTTGTGAGCAGATGGGTATGGATTCAGCAGCTTACTGGTAAGAAATCAGCAACATGGATAAAGTGTCAAATCTCCATTTAAAGTGGAATTACAGTGATTTTTCTGGTAAGAGATTTATGAATATAACAATTTCAGGGTAGAAGCTGTTTTTCAGTCTAGTGGTTCTACACTTAATGCTCCTCAACCTCCTTCCTGAGGGGAGCGGAGCAAATAGGGGAGCGTGACAAAAAGTCTGTGTGCTGGGTGAGTGGGGTCCTTCATGATGCAGGTGGCCATCTTCCTGCATCTGGAGGTGTAGATGGTGGGGAGACTGACTCCAACAGACTTCTGTGCAGCCTTCACCACTCTCTGCAAAGCTTTTTTTTCTGCAGCTGTGCAGCCTCCATGCCACACGTTGATGCTGGAGCACAGGATGCTCTCCACTGCACACCTGTAGAAGAAGGTGAGGACTGAGCTTCCCAAACCAGCTCGTCTCAGCCGCCTGAGGAAGTAGATCCGCTGATGTGCTTTCTTGATCAGACTGGTAGCGTTGTTGCCCCAGGTGAGGTTGTCATTCAGGTGCACACCTAAATGCACCTGTAACTGGAGGCTGCTTCCATAGCAGAGCCTCCTATGTGCAGGGTGGGGGGTAGGTGTGTTTGCTCCTTCTGAAATCCACAATTATCGCCTTCCTCTTCACATTGATGTGGAGGTTGTTCTTCCTGCACCAGCTCTCCAGGTGTTCATTGTTCAATCATTGTTTGTGATGCATCCAACCACCACTGTATCATCTGCAAACTTTACACAATGGCAGCCTGGATGGGTAGGTGTGCAGTCATATGTGAGCAGAGTGAACAGGAGAGGGCTCAACACACAGTCCTGAGGACAGCCAGTGCTGAGGGTTATGGTGGAGGAGGAGAAGTTGTGGATCTTCACACACTGCGGTCTCTTTGTTAAGAAGTCCAGGACCCAGTTGCAAATGGAGGGGCTTAGTCCTAGTGTGAGTAGTTTACCCATCAGGGTCTGGGTGTTGAAGGCAGATGTGAAGTCCACAAAGAGCATATGGACATAGGAATTCTTCTGCTCCAGGTGGGTGAGAGCAGTGTGGACCACAGAGGAGATGGTGTCCTCTGTTGATTGCGGTATGCATACTGGTGTGGATACTTGCTGATGTCTATGGTTGCTGTGATGTGGGTCATGACCAGTCTTTCAAAGCATTTTGTGACTATCGGGGTGAGAGCTACTGGCCGGTAGTCATTCAGACCAGTCATTGTAGAGTTATTAAGAACTGGGATGATAGTGGCGGCCTTCAGATGGAGATGTGGCCATAGAGGCCAAGGTGGGGGAGTGGTGCGGCTCTATGTGTCTTGTATGTTGGTTTAAACATGGTGTAGTGTGTCATTTCCCCATGCTGCTATATGGTGACATGCTGATAGACTCTTGGCAGAGTGTTTTTCAGGTTTATGTGGTTAAAGTTCCCAGCCACCATATAAAAAGCCTCTGGAGGCTTGTTTTGAAGCGAGCTGATGTTATCATTTCGCTCTGCCAGTGTGTTTTTAGCATTAGCGTTCGGTGCTATATAACCAACCATCTGGTGCTATACACAACCACCGAGCTACCACAGCCCTAGATGTATAAATCCCAGTTAACTGTGGAAAACTGTAGCTTTGGGAGTCACAAAGCTCTGATATGGTTTTTGGATATATGTTTACATGAAAGATTGTCTTTCATTTACTCTTGTTAGCTGACAATCTCAGGTGAGATGGCTGCACATGCACAAATGCATGAACAACCTTCAGACCAATATAAATCAATGCCCAAACCCAGAAAAAAACATGCATCTACTTTTCAAACACGTAAAAGGGAGTAAAACAAATAGAAGTTGCCTCTTTTCACATAGTTTCAGTAAATTAAATTGTCCTGTACAGCTTATTTTGTGGCACAATTTTGTGCCAATTTTGTAACTTGTGTGCAACTGGGTATGTGTTTCCTTTTTATCCAATAGCAAATATCTTGTTTATTGCCTTTCCGCCCACTCCTCCCCCACATTACACCAACTGTGTGGTGTCATCAAGAGTCAGTGGTGACTACTGGTGGAGCGAGTTTCAGAAGCAAGATTTTTTTACAAATCTGTAAGTCAACCTCCTACTTTGTCCTGAGTCACAGTCTGCAGTAAGGAACGGAACAGACAGACTAGATTAGATAGATAGATAGATAGATAGATAGATAGATAGATAGATAGATAG